GTACCTTTTCTCCGCTCAGAGGAGAGAGAGAGAGAGAGAGAAACAAAAACCAAGAGAAGGTAGCCAGTGACCGTACGTAAGTAGGATCCATCGCCTGGGGTCTCCTGGACCCTAGCCTGGGCACCCGTCGAAGCAGTCGGGTGCTTCAACCCACCCACCCCTTGAAGACTTAGGACGTCTTGGCCGCCCCGGCTGACCACAGATCCGACTGCGGGGACATCTGACCTTGTAGCGCCTCTGGCGCCTCAGGGGAGATGAAAAGCGAGCGAAGGACAGGTAGAAGCGAGCCGGCTGGGGAGGCCCTGGACATGTAGAAGGGTGAGATGTCCCGGAGAAATTGCAGCATGTTGAACATGGATGGTTCTCGCACCGGTGGTGAACCTGATTCCTCACTTCTGCCAGTATCCCCTTCCAAAAGTGGTAGGGCCAAGTGATCCACTTCTCCCTGGAAGGGGATATGAACCTGCCAGGAACACTGGACCTTGGATGTTTTGAGTTCGTCACGCGAGTTCGGCGGGCATCTATGCTTTGAGAAGGTACTTGGATCCCTAGGGTCAAGTCTTGGGGGTCTTTGATGAGTCGGGAGGCTTGGACCCACACCCATCGGGAGGCTTGGACCCGCTCACCCGCCCATCTGAGGCATCCCGGCAATGTAGCCAGGCCTCAAAGAAGAGCTGGGCGGGAATCCGTTCTTGGAGGCACGTCCCGTGAGGATTTCATCTGAATCTGTTTGTTTTTCTTAATTTGGGGGGAGAGTCAAAGCCCTAAGCTTCAAACAACCGTCTTACCCAGGATGTTAGAATGTTGATAGTCTTTGAAGACTAGGGACAGACTTCATATAAAACGAATGGTCTGACCAGGGTACCTGATTTCGGAAATTTCCTGTACTTCACTATACGGATCAGCATCGTCGAACTGGACTTTCGGGAAGGCCATCAACCGATGAGTCAAAGGTCAAGTGGGGTCCCAGGTCGGAACACACCTAAGGGGTCCTCCCAATTTCGACCAGCCAACAGATCCGGTTTCTCCGTTCCTTTCGTTGGCCTCCCCCCCCCCACCCGGTGTGCTGGGCCATCCGGGCGTGCCCACAAATCGCTGACTCTTGGGGGTTTGAGGCGTCCACTCTTGGCCTGAAATTTGCTTGCACGTCGCACGCTCGCGCGCGGGTCTCACGGTGTCGGAGATGGTGGGAGTGCCAGTCCCAGAAACTCCAGGGGGCTGGAAGATATGCCTGCATTGATTCCTTTTCAACCACCCCCAGTGAGCATTGAGACCTAGACCCCCTTTGTTTAGGGACCTGGCTCTTGTGGGCAACCTGCGCCATCTGAAATCGATAGAAGAATGAAACACATCGTAACTCTGGATCCTCCAAGGTTTCGTGGAAGATGGGATTCAACAAACATTGGACATATGAGGGGCCCAGCATAAGGCCCAGGAAATCCAGGGCTAAACACACTGAAAAAGGCCCTCGACCTTCAGGATGGTGCGTGAAGGGTTTGCAGCTATGAGAGGTGAGGTGCGTCTTGTGCCAAGTTCGGGGCTCTAGCTCGCATTTCTTGCCTGTCCGAACGTCTTCTGCCAAGGGTTCAACCCAAACTAGGCGTTTTAGATGGTTTTAGTAATTTTACGTACATTCCAAATGAAGCTCTTCCGGGCTCTTCGGGTCTACGAGCTTACCAAAGGCCAGGGAGGTATAGGTGCCTCAATGATTCTCATCAAACCTAGCTGCTTGCTTTGGGTCGTTTATGACATTTTTATCTCCTCAGACTGATTTCCACCTCCATGTCAGTCCGAGTGCAACCGGTTTTGAAGGATCTAGAAAGGATCTTGCAATAGCTGCGGGTCACAATGAGGATGCCTTGGCTGACGTACCTGGAAGGTCTTTCGCTACATGGTATTGGACCTGCCAGGGTTTGACCTCATCCCCAAATATCTTGAAGAAGGATGCAACATGATTCCTGGTGCTCGTTTGATCTCCGATAATTACCGGCAAAAGCACGATGCAAGAGGGACGCCCCGCTTCTTGTTTCCACCGGCAGGGCAGTTGTCTTCAACACCGTGGACACTGTGTGGGGCGGACTTTTTGGAGAGCAAACCCAAACACGACCTGGGACTGGAAGATATATGCCAATAAGTGGACCCCGGAAAATCAACCATTCCAATTTACCAGGACCATCTTGCTTGGGTCTCCAATCTACACTAATTATACTTCGAGGGCTTCCATTGGGCACCCAAACCGGATGCTCCAGGTATACGGTATACGTCAAATCTGCCAGTCCGGAGTCTGTGGACCCCAACTGCGCCCAACACACGCCCGGTCACGCGCGGCAGGGACGCCGCTTCAACCCGCTTCCCACGCGCTCTCTCCGCGTAATGGTGTTCCCCGGCAGGTATCAAAGTCGATGAGCTTCACCGTCTTCGGCGAGTATTCCAACCTTGGCATTCAGCTTGGGTCGCCCCGTCACCTCACGGGGGACCCGCCCATGTCGCCCTGCGCTGCGCTGCCTTCCACGGAGTGTCCGCCAGATCCGATCAGTCCCGGTGCGTCAACCCGAGGAGGGAGAGCAGGGGCCGAAACACCATCCCGTTGGCAAAGCCTGGGGTCCCAGCCTGTTGGAGGGTGCATGGAATGGAGTGTGTAGGTATGGAATAGGTGGCACGGGTGGTGATGATAGGGAACACACTTCAATTGACCATCTCCCCGCTTGGAGATGTGTTGTGCGCTTCTTGGAAGCATGTCCTGCTTGTAGATCGGGAACCCTGGGCCGTTTTCGTTCCATTGGGCCAGCCACTTACATTCTTGGATGCAGTATGGGGTATATGCTCTCAATGAAAAGTCTGAGAAAAAAAGAATACTTCACGTCTCCAGCAACCTTCTTGAGATGGGGGGATATTTCAGGCATGCCGCTGTTGTTTTCGGGACTCCTTAAATTGCCACAAAATGAGAGGAACAAACGCAACACAAAAAGAAGTCCTCCCCGAAGCAGCCCCAGGCACTGCAAGTCCATGTCGAACATGATGTTCTCAGGCCTTAGGGTGAATCTGAGGCTGGTTGCAGGCGGGTCCACTGGGTTTCAAGGAGCTTTTGGGAGGTTTGGGACACCTGTTAAAATTCTATAACGATAAACGAGGAGGTTCGGAAGCGGATGCCTCTGCAGGACAAGCCATGCAGAGTTTGGCAGTTAGGGGTGTCTTTCAGAACCTCAGCGCCGTACATTGGAAGGACAACATGATGTAAACTCTTGATGAATCAACCTCCAGTTTGAGAGGGTTTTTCAATCCAAATCAAGAGTCTACTTTACCCCTAGGGATCCACATACCGAACCTCAGAAGGTAGCTGGGTCTTCCTAGCCAACATCAATAGTCTCCAATCACCTCGGATTCGGTATGTGGATCCATAGGGTACAGAAAGCTCCTCCAAAAAAGGACATTCGGTTTGCTTGCTTGCGGGGCCTGCACAAAAAAGAGACACATCTTCCCCAGAAGGTGCTTCACCCATGGAGACCAGATGAGACCGAAAAATCGAAGCCATGCCAAGCAAAACAAGGAATGAGGAGCTCTGCTCAAACGCCCATGCATCCGGTCAAACGCCCATGCATCCGGTCAAACCAACAGCCATAGTCAGTTCCTTAATTAGGGTGTCTGACAGATGCTGGACCACCGCAACATCTGTTCAACCTGGGCTGGAATTGCAGGGAGGGCCAAGGCCTGCTCGTTTCGAACCGAACCCTCGGCTCTAAACGACCACCCCGGTTCCTCCATCGCGCCATCCATCGCCCGCCCGGAGGAAGCCCGACTTGATGTCTCTGTGGATGATATTGTTCGCGTGCAAGTGTCCTGGCCGCGTGCCCGGACGTTCCGAAACGCAGGACGTGAACCGTGCCATCCGAAGTGACATGGGCACACAAGCGCCACACCGACCTGCAAGCATCAGAACGGCCTTCAGAACATCTCAGAGATAACACGGAACTGACGGCATGTGTCCTTCAATCAATCTATGCTCTGTATACAGGAGCAATGGTCCGGGTTACCATATAGGTTGTCTTGTCTTAGGGCGGAGGGCAGTGAGGTGCCTCTTGAGCCATCGCCATAGTAGTCCAGAGTGTAGTCCAGACTCTATGCGAATCAAAGAGGGCAAAGTAAATCCTTGAACGCTTTGTGTTGGATGACAAGACGCCCCATCGAAGGAGAACAGTTCTGGGCAGGACGCCTCCCCCAAACTCAAACCTGCCATTGGACTCACTAACTGAAACCGGAGCTTCAAACAAGTAGGGGTTCGAGTTTTCAAGATGGTTATATAATATTGATTAATGATGTGGTCAGTGACCACTGACACAGAATAAGTAGGCTGAAAGGTCAATGTTCTTCACTGGGCCAAAACACATATCCCACCTACTGCAGGAAAGTCTATGTCAAACCATGTCAAACCCATCCTAAGTCTTTTCAGGGTATCTCAATCTCCTTGCTTGCGGAGTCCCACAGGCGTGTCACGTATGTCATGCTTGGATCCGATCTGCCCAAACGACCGCCCCACACCGTCCGTTCCCACCTACTGCGGTCAAAATCTCCCGGATGATTCGCTTGCACCTCGGACTTGGATTTGCTGGAACCCGCGACCCGGCAGAGGGAAAACTTCCCAGGGTGGCACAGGGAGAAGAAAACACCACCTGATCTGCAAACCAAGGTTGAGGCGACAGAAACCGTGAAACTGGATGATCATACCTGGATCTTCCAGCTATTGTTTCAGTCTTTTCATACATAAATAATCAACGGCCAAAAGGCCGACATTTGGCATACAGTTGGAAGATCCAGGTATATATAATCAAGAATCACCCCACAGTCGATGGTGACCAACTTTCCAGGACATTTTTTTGCGCCGGTGGTGGTCCCGTCCAGAAGAATGGGCAGGTCGTTGATGCCATCGAAGGGACACGACGCTCGGTCTTGCTCGGCTCGCTGCACTGTTCGAAGCCCAAGAGGTAAGGTTCGCATGCACGACTTCCCCAACACACCATGTATGGAATACATGATGGCCGATCAGTTCGGGTTGACAGACCCCAGCTCTTGGGTTTTTGTTGGCCAGGCGGGCGGCCCAAAGAACTGCCTGAAGTTGGACATTGCCTTGGCACTGCCCATGACAGATGTCCAAGCGACCACCTGATGGGACACCTGACAATTATGATATAACCAACAGGTTCTTCATCAAAAGCCAAACAGGAATCAAACACACTTCAGCAGCCAGGAATCAAAACGGCATCCATTGAGCGCGAGTGGTGATTCCGGGCTTTTCGTTCACAAACATCTGCGCTTGACATCCGTAGCTTTTACTTCCCTCGCTGCTGCCAAGCAGGGAACCTAACCGACCGGGATGCCGCGACCCGGCAGGCATGTCTCAATGTACAGGGAGATCGCTAGAACTGGTACTTGCAAAAGGAACACGTCAACAAAACCATGTCTCTCATAGGGGCCTGCAAATCACCCATTTGATAGCCAATTGCAACATACACACAGTGCCCACAAGAAACTGGTTCATGGACAACCCCACCTTAGCAGGTTGCCCGAAGAGAGTGCCATCAGTTCCCCCTGCCAACCTCTATTTTGCCCCACTCTCCAGCACTGGTTCTAAGCCCTCGGACTCTGCTTCGGGGACCTGCGAGGGACGGGGACGGCGCACGCCCGGAAGTCAGTCGCCAACGGGATCCGGTCATGTGAGGGAACGTCAGAAAGCATCCGGAGTAAAATCAAAACAAAATCACAATACTTGTGGCCCAGAGGGGGGGGGGGCGAAAGCTAGGCAAAGAAACAACGCTGGGGCTCTTTAGGCAGCAAAAGCCTGGCCGGGAATTGCAACATGCCATGGCGAAGGGAAAAGGAGAGTGCCAACAGCGCCCCCCCAATACGACCCCAACACAGCCAACACATGGCAACACACAACCACCCCAGCAACCGCAGCAGCAGCAGCAGCAACAACAACCACAACAACAGTAACTGTAACCAGCAGCGGCAGCGGCAGCAAGCAGAAGCTACCAAGCAGCAGCAGAAGCAGCAGCAGGAGTAGCTAGCAAGCAGCAGCACCAGCTACCAAGCAGCAGCAGCAGCAGCTACCAAGCAACAGCAGCATCAGCTACCAAGCAGCAGCAGCAGCAGCAGCAGTAGCAGCAGCAGCAGCTACCAAGCAGCAGCAGCATCAGCAGCAGCTACCAAGCAGCAGCAGCAGCAGCAGGAGCAGCTACCAAGCAGCAGCATCAGCAGCAGGGAAAGAGTGAGCTTTCGTGCCCCAACATTTGGTCTCGAACAATAGCACATATAGGTGCTGCCTGAGTGCCAGCAGAGGTTGAAGAACCCTATAGACTATCCTATACGTACTCCTGTAGGGTCCTATATGGTCACTTAACCTCTGTAGGTAATTGTAGAAGGGCGACGTGGAAAGACAGATATATCTGATATATCTGTTTTTTCCACGAATAAATGCTGACGATGCAGCCAGCAGCGGTGTGCATGATTGACATCTAGGGGTTGCATGCGAACATGTGTCCGAAGATTCCGTCGCAACGCTTGTGCATGCTCCCTGTCGCTCGAACATGCAACGCGGACTACCATGAGTGAAGCAAACAGCCCGTTCAAACATCTTACTGGGTTCTGTCGTTCATATGTGTAGAAAGTATCGTCTTTTGATCTGCATGGATAGCGGATAGCATTCTGATTTGTACTCTTGGGGGTTGTGGGGTGGATACATGCCTGTACAAGCTTCTTAAGGATATAATGAAATTAGCATCGTTTCACGACTCAGAGGGAATGCAACTACTCTCAATTCTAACGAATAGGCTTTCTTCAGCACCAACAGCAGCCAACAACCCCAAACAGCAACAGCAGCAAAACGGAGCAGACAACAAGCAGCAGGCAGCCAGCATCCAGCAGCAGCAAGCAAGCAGCAAGCAGCAGCAGCAGCGACCAAGCAGCAGCAGCAGCAGGTATCGAGGAGGAGAAGGGTGGAGTTGAACCCCGCGAGGGGGGGGGGGGTGTAGTCCTGATATATCAGGTAATAGCACTCAGGTCCTGGGCTCCCACCCTCCTTGCTAAAGCAAGACAGACTCCAGCTAGCTACAGCTAGCTTTCGTGATAAATAAATATATATATATATACAAACAAATATATATATATATATATACATATTACATATATAACCATAGAAAAGTAGATCCCCGCTGAAAATGTACTGGAAACCGTGCCACATCCTGCCACGATCTATGTGGGGACCACTATATGCAGCTTTTGATGTCTGTGCACGTGGGTTTTCTTATGTAGCAAATTTTCAGGGAATGCCACCGGTTGTCTGCCATGTTGCCAATGGAAAAGGGGATGCCGACAGCACCTTGATTCTTTCTTGGATGTGGTTCCCCAAAACTTCCGGTCAATTGGCATTGGTTCCCATCTATGCAGGTCCTGCCCAACACGCAAAATTGATGCGATGAGGCTTTGCCTCAAAATGGACCATTCAGGACCATTCAAACTTCTCCCCGTTTCCCCAATCAAAAAACAACACTTGATCCACCTACCCCAGATCACCCCATCGCATGCCAGCCGGTTGCTGTAGCCGGCCCCAAAAATGCCCCGGCTTCCTCCCGCGTGTCAAAACGCGCCTCGGTTTCATTGGCCAAGAATTCAAAGAGCTCCCCACCGTTGCACTTTGGCATCACCACCTTGGACGGTTTAAGCCGTTGAAGCATAGTCTGGTCGCCGGCCTGTTGAGGCGGGTTGGGTCTTAAACTGGGTACGGTATTAGATGTGTTTGATGAATCAATCCACCCCCAGACATGGATTGAAGAATCTCTTCAGGCTTGGGGGTGAAATCGAATTCTAAGATTCTACATCGCAGATCTGAAGTTGGAAGGTTCTGAAGCACCGAACGTGGGTGCCCAATGTCCAATGTCACCTCGTGATAAACCAACCCCACCAAATAGTCATGATCCAGCACTTCTAAAGGGTAAATGAGTCATTTGGACTTCCAGGTTTACACAGGCTCTGAAGTTTCAATCTTTGAAGCCTTCAATCCTTCAGAGTCAAGCCCACCAGTGCTCCGGTCGCCCACCAGTGCTATTTAAGAGGCGGAATCCAAAACCACCATTGTTTTACCAAGGATTTGCCGCGCGCATCGCTCGTCACCCGAAGTCTCCGCCGCGGAAGACCTCTGCCCCAAGGGGCGGCAGAATTTGTCCACACACGTCAGGCACAAGAGCTTGCGTACTAGATAATTCTGCCCACCATGGCCCCTTACTAAGGGGTGTGACTCCCCGTGCCAGGATCAGTCAGCGGTTAGTTTGGATTTGCTTCTGGAACTGGAGGAAGAAACCTCAACATCCTCCCGGATCCTCCCCAGCAAAAAAGTCACCCCCAGCTGGGGAATAGACATCACCCTTTTCGCGCAAGTCTCCAGGCTAGCCATCCTCGGTCCCCACCATTCCTGAAGTGGAAAAGCCCGGCCCTCACGGCCTTGGCCCCCATCCCTGAGGCATCAGCAAAGAACTCGTTCTCGCCTTCCACAATTTCCGAAAAGCCCAGTACATGGTCACCTCAGCAGCGTCTCACACTCTACAAGTCGAGTCTGACCCAGTACAACCTGCTCTTTGACCTCCCTGAGATCCTTGAGTACTGTAGTGTTTTTGTTTGGTGCGTATGACCAACTCCAGTCTTTCATGAAGTTTGACGTCCTGCAACCTGAGACTCAACCCTGATAGGAATCTCCAAATCCCTATAGCCTTCAGTTCGACCATGCACAAGAATTGAGATATAATTAGCATGACATTCTGATACAGTAGTTAAAACAATTTAACATATAGTTGAAACATGTTGAAACATGTTAAAACCAGCATAAAGCAGCTGGTTCTTTGGCAACAACCATGAGGAAAACAACAACAACAACAATAACAACAATGGTGGGTGAGGAATCCCCAAACATCAAGCTTCTGACGTCCTGCCAGGTGCCATGCATGTCCGTTCCACGTGAGTGTCGAACGATGATAATTATACCTGCCCCGTTGAATCGGACATCCCCTTCATATATCTTCATATGGGGTGGCTCTGGCTCTACTAATCAAGGGTCCACACTGTTGGACTCCCATTCCAGCTCTTTTCCGACGCTCCACGTGCATCGGTGCGAAAAGGGGAATGCGCCACGAGCGCCCGATCGGGAGCGCCCGATCACTGGAGATCGAAGACTGCCAAGAGAGGTTAAGTGACCTTATAGGACCCTACTGGGGGACCCATAGGATAGCCTATAGGGTTCTTCAACCTCTGTTGGTGTAGTCCAAAAGAGGCTTCGAGGCTTCTTCGGCATACAAGAAACGTGCAGATTCGACAGAGACAACCAGGTCGTGGAGTGCCAGTTTCCAGCTGAAACACGCGATAAACCAAGCACCACCCAGTTGGGGATCTTCTGGAAAAAGAAGACACCTGGAAAGCCGGGGGGGGCGGTCTTCATCCACATGTTTCTTCTCGCCCAGACCGTTTTCCAATGCGCCACGACCGTTTCCTGGGACAGTCCCTAAAGACCGGCCTGGGACGGCTTCTGAGGGTCCGGGCTGGTGGAAATTCCGTGCATCTGGGCCATAATCGTCCGCCAGTTGCGCTCCGTCATCCTGACATTGGTGACCACCCCGCGACCGACCATCAGCGACCCCCCAATGCCCCGCGACCTTGGGAGGTTGGATGCTTGGTCCCCCAATCACATGCTTGGACAGGCCCGAGGCTGCCAGGGGAAGAGTCCATCGAACTTGGGCATGGCAGTGGCAGCTTGCGATGCGATGGCTTGCGTCCCGAAAAAGGCCTTAACAGTTGAAGCCTCGGTCAACCCCTTCTTATTCTCGTGGGAGAGATGCCTGGAAGGTTCCCAAAAACGGGAGGGATTTTGGAAAGTGGACTGCCAAAAGCTCCGATGCAGTCAAGTTTGGTCAGAAGTTCAACCCCCTTTGGAGAAGAGATCCCCTGCTCGGGTGGCCAAAAAGTATTGCTCTCATTGTCTGATTTGCCTAGTTTGAGATCTCTATTGGGGCTTCAACCTATCGAATACCCTGAAAAACCAAAGATAGGGGTCACCCACTGGATCACCCATCTAAGGGGTCGCTGAAATCAGCACACGGATATAACGGATATCGCGTGACCTGGCTTCGGTGAATCAAATCTCGTCCTGTTGAAGAAGGGCTGGCTCTCAAAACCATGCTCCTTTTGGATTTGCTTTCGAAGGAATCACGGAGAAAAGAAACATATCTTCCCCCCAAAGGGGGGATATTCACCCACAAGGTCCGCTTAAGACCTTTTGTACAAACGTCCTCAGGTGCCTCCAAGCAGGAGCCCCCTGGAAAATTCAACTGAACCAAAAACGAACTCCACCTGTTCGTTTTGCATACGCCAATGCCCCAAAAAGCTTGAAGGTTCCACTATTCCTGGCTGCCAGGCCTTACGCCACCAGATTCCAATTGGACCTGGCAACACATGAAACATCATGAGGCACCAATCCCCCCAGCCCCATGCAGGGGCCCGCCCTGGAGCACACCACCCATGCTGGTGCCCATGGCCATGCCTGTTGTTCTGCTTCGCGCGAATCTTCACCACCTCATTTGGAGCTGATGAGAGAGGGCACACATCACACACATGGAGGCCCAGGCGCCTCCATCACACGGTGGGCAAAAAGGAATCATGGGCAGCCAAGAGTATCAAGAACAAGGGTTACGAGCAGGAGAGCAATTAAGAGCGGTCACATCATATGGGAGCACACACATGTACACACGCATTCGGGATTCCAAGACATCGATGTACCAAATCGAATCAAAAGGAAGCTGTCAGTGTCACGGATCAACACGAAATTACAAGAAACACGTGAGACATGTGCTGTACACACACCCACAGGCATCTCCACTGCCACTTCACGAAACTTCCTGGTCTCCCGAAAAACCAGCACCCAAACCCAGCAACAAAGGTTCAAAGACCCGACCGTTTGCCTATCCCAGTTGGGTACGCCAGGTTATGGGTCCTATTATGTCCTAGTCGTTCGGTCACTTAACCTACCTCTCTGGGCACCCCCTAACTTCACGGGAGCAAGGCGTCACAAACATGGTGAAGCAGAACTCCTTCAGGTGAAAGATGGTAAACCGAAGGTCCACACCGGCTGCCACGACACGTGGACACTCCTGACTGCCGAGAAACGGCCAAGGGGTGCCAGGGGGGAGTCAATGGGGCGGCATGTCCCAGGAGGCCCACCACCACCTCCTTCAAAGCATGAACGAGACCCCGCGAACGGGGCGGAAGACGGGGCGTTCGAAGGGACCAAACAACGGATGAACGGGCCGTACCGCCTCCTGCACTGTACCGCCTCCCGCCGCTGGTGACGGATGTCTGGGTGTGCCGCACCACCTCCTGCCCGTCGACTTTCCGCCGGGCCACCTGGGCGCCCGGCACGGCGGTAGCGAGATCTTCTGCCAAGGGTTTAGCATGGTGTCTAGTGGTTTTAGCATATGATTTACTAATCCCTTGCAAACCCATTCGGAGTCTAGAATGCCCAAGAGAGGCACACCACGCAGTTTTTTCTCCGTTCACCATAGCTCCAGACTGGAAAGTGTTACTGCTTGAAGATTCCGTCTGAATCATGCAGAACCATCGGGTTCGTTCCACCTCAAGGAACCGGGGAAAACACATGGAGGGCGACTCACCCAGTTCGGGGAGACAAACATCACACCCGATCAGCAAGGGCCAATCGTTGAGTGGAGGAGCTGACGCCAAACTTGCATGGAGTTTGGGGTCATTGCATGGGGTCCATGCGTCCTGCAATCGACCCGTCGACAGGCCCGTGGCTTCAACTTGTTTGAACTTAAATGTGAGGAATGTGGGTTTAGGGTTTAGGGTTCAATGACTGGCTCAATGTGTTTCAATCATCCCAAAGTATAGAGGTTAAACATAGAAACCACCACATACCACCACATTAACCCATGCGCTTCCTGTCTGGGTGCACTGTCTGGAGGCCTATTTACGTCGGGTAGGGTAGTCGAACGCCAGGACACCCAGACAGGATGATCCTGGCATTTGAGTGTGAAGTTGGTGAGCTTGGTGAGCGAACGGTCGGCTCCAAACGGACATATTTCGAGGACCTGGGCATCTGCCAACCACTCTGAGGAGCTCTGGATGAACTTGGACCTGCCTAAGGACCATGGGCAATCCCCGGATGGTGAAAATAAGAATCGTTTGCATGGGCCATGGCCCTTGATCCAACACATAGCTGCTCAGGCTCTTCTGAAGTATCCCAGCGCTACCTGCTCTTGAAGCTTGGGAAATAACCAAATATACTCCCCTGCAGGCTAACATGGACCCATTTCACGATCTTCCTCCAACCCAATGGTTTTGAGAGCCCATGTTAATCTGCAGGGTGGCCAAAACTCGATGGTTGATGACGCCTGAAAAGTCGTCCTCCGAGCTGCTCTCTCACTGCCAAACGTCGCTTTCTGACGGCAGTAAAAATCATCCTCTCCTTGATCCTCTCCTC